AATGGAACTGTACTTTGGGGTGTTTTCTTCTACTTTCTGTTAATGAAAACCTTCAGAATTTAAACAAAGTGTGTGGCCAAAGTCTTCTGGTGGTGTAAATGAAATCATTTAGTCTTGCAAGAGCCGTTTGCTCTTTCCAGCACTGTTTTGGTTGAAACTGAGTGAGTAAGATCTGGTGTTCTAAGAGGTGTTTGCAGTGTATCTCAGCTGTTAGGCACTTCCCTGGCTCCACATTAACCTGGGCCCAAGAAAGGCAGGCTGAAGGCTTAGTAGGGCAAATGAATAAATGGATATTACTTGTGCCATTGTGCCAATATAAAAACTCCTGTAAATTCCGTGCAAGTCATACTGCTACACCTTTGATGGGTGAAGCATGTTATCCTACTGCAACATGCTCCCTCACTCTGCCTGGTGCAGGCAGCTGCCTGCCTTCTGTTTTTATCATCCCGATGCCTGCCACCTTTATGGGTTTAATGTTTGCTGCAGGCTTAAGATGAAACTTGCTGGAGCCAGGCTGGCATACCCCACTGATCCTTCTCGAAGTTTCATTTCGTTCCCTCAATGCACTTCCTCATTCGTTACCGCCTTTCATTTAAGTCTTTGTAGTCAGAGAGGGTAATATCTGAAAGAAGAAGAGAGGTGTAAATACATATTACTACTCTCTCATTTTCTAGCTATATATTTTTTCACATGTTTAAGCAGTTTCAGAAAGGTAAAAACAAAAATCCCACTGGAAAAGGTGCAAGTAGAATTGTAGTATATAGGCTAAATTGATGCCCTGATATGTGCAGTCTGAATTAAGCAGTCATTGTAAAACATGCATTATATTGTAATACTGCACATCCTCAGTGCCTAGAACATGCATTCTATATACTGTATGAAGAAATTAATAGTTTACAAATATATCAAGAGCACAGTGCCACCAGCAATGTCTTTTTTTTCTTTCTGTAGTAGAAATTATCAGCTTTTAAAGGATCGAAGTTCCAAAAAAGTTCCCTTATACCCTCCAGATCCATCATCTGTGTGTGCAGTCACTATTCATTTTACTGTCAGAAATCAGCGGCTTCTACTTTTAGACCCACAAAGCCTGTACAGTTGTGGAACAATGAGCAGTGTTTTCTTCTGCCTTGCACATACTTTGTTGAAAGACCAATCCCATTACAGCTCAAGAATCTTTTATCCTGATGGAAACATATGACAAAGAAAGAATGGATTTGGATTTTTCAGTTTCTCTCATTTCAGTTCTTACAATACTAATATTTAGCGGAATTTGCTGGGTACTGCTAAGCTGAGCATGTGAGTCATGCTGTCTCTCTTTCACACATACGTGTGGATAAAGAACTTTAGCGAGTGTGGTTCATGGGGAAAAATCTCAGTGATGGTCTTCTAACACAGATGTCTTCTTTGTTTGTCATCTGTCTACTTCCAATTTATGTTAGTTTCATGAGGTAGATGGGAAGCCATATGTAGACTATGTACACATACAGGACTTGTGGTCCCCATGAAGCTGCAGAGTTCTTCAGCTAAGGGATGTTCTTAGAGCAGAATCTTCATCCTGGATGATTCTGAGCAGGATAGATATAAAATATTTAACTTTTCTTCTGAATCTCACAAGTCTTTCTGAAGCTTTTTTCCACCTCCCAGCATGGTCAGCCCTCATTCCAGTACATCTGGAGCATACTCTTTTACAGAATAGCTTGGTAAAGTGTCTGAGGGAGCCAGGGAGAGACAGACTCCAGTGTGTGCTGGGTATGGAAGCTACTGAAAAGCAGTGTTCAGGAAGCTTTCTACTACAAACCAACTGTTAATATTTATGACAAGAAATTCAACTTTTGCATTATCCAAAGCCAGTGATGTATTGCCACTGGCATTGTGCCTTAGCACTATGTAATCTTTAATGTATTTATCCTGTGGGATCAGAGAATTAGCATTATATAGTGAATAAAGGAAATACATGCAAACTTGATTGAGCTAATGTCAGTTACAGCAAAAATTAATCTGTTCTCCCTTTTCATTAGTAAACAAACTAAACTAAAGCAGCTTGTCAGTGCGAGGCTTCCCATGGTGAAAACAGGTCCAGCCCAGCAGACTATCCTGAATTCATGTGGTCTCAGCTGGGACTCTTTGTGTCTGCGGGGGGACTTTAGACACTTAAGTCCCATTGTGTGTCTGAGAACTAAACCCTAGCTGTCCTTTATAGTTTTGTAAAGATTTTTACAGAGCCTCAATAGATCTTTAAGTGAGAATATGGAGCCTGAGAATCAGTTCCAAGCACCTACAGTGTGTTTAATTGTTGACCTGGCTACTCTTTCCTGAAATGTTGAGGGTATCTTTACATTCATAAAGATAAATACATCAAATATGTTTGGATATTGCACTGAAGGGCACAATATGTGTACCTGTAATACAGACCAGTCTGCTGCTGTGTGCTCAAGCTGTTAAGCAGCAGTACTCTGTAGGATTGAGCCTTGTGTAACTTTTACTAACACCAAATTCTTTGCCACAAAAACTGTCATTTCATGTATGCCATTGGTGGAGCTAATTTGGCCCACATTGTTTGTTTAAATTGTAGAACTCTAGATGATTTAACCGAAAGGTTCAGCCACCTGAACCTTCAGTGGACGTGACAAGCAGAATGTTATATACATGGGAGAAGTCACATTCCTACAGTTCTTCAGGGAGTCTGGCAAGTAACTGGATGGCTTTGGTCTCCAGCACTGTAAAACCCCTGCTATTTGGCTGAATTCAGTTAAAATTCATGAAAAAAAAATTAAACGAGAAGAGTATGGGGAGGTAGGTGTGAATGTCTGGACAGACCAGGGCAAGCAGTTTTCCCTCGAGATTGTGTAGCAGTGAAGGAAGCAACGCAAAGTAGTCTGGCAAGTAAAATCAGGATCTGCTTCAAGAGGAAAATAATAACTAGAAGTCAGAAAGTGCATGGCTACCGAGAGCAGTGCTTGCCGAGTCAGCAAAGGCGACAGTTAATTCCCAGGCAGTTTCAATTTTTGTGCTACAGACCTCAGTGCCAAAGCATTGTGCAAAAAAGTGGAGTGGTTGGAATTAAAAGGCAGTTGAAGCATTTTATATTTGTGTATTAAAACTCATGTGTTTGTGTGCAAGATAAGAGAATGGCAGACAAGCGCATGTTATAAGAGTATGAACCCTGATCTTTTGCAGGGTTCAAGGAAGAACTTGGAGGAAGTCCAAGTTGAATAAGGCTGCTTTATTCTTTAAATTACCACTTTTAATTAAAATCTATATATATTTGTCCAAGCTAGCCTCTATAGGTGTTAAAACCCTTGTAGGTCTTTGCAGGACTATAAGAATGAGTGCTTCAGGTTAATGTTAAATATTGACACATTTAGAACAATGCTACACAGCAGATGTCGTCCCAACATGTGACGGCAACATTACAAAGCAGAACGAATGGAGCGGAAGCAGCTCTGGAACACCCTGCTGTAACATTCTCATTAACTCCTAATCTGTAAGGCTGGAGAATAGCCCAACTGTACTGAGTACAATAGGGATAGTTGGCCTAATGACTTTGGTGGGTTAGCATTCATAAAAAAACTATTGAATTCAATTCTCTTTCTGAAGAACAAGGAAAAGGAGCTGCAGAAAAACATGGCCCGATACAGGCATACAGACACTGGGGACACTCCCATCTCCTTTGCTCAAGTTAAGGAAAACACTGTGAATTTCAGCAAAAGTATTGTAATGGTTTTCAACACAATATGCTACTCGCATTGCAAGTATACATTCTATGCCAGTTATGTTCCTCACTGGGTATTTTTCCTATAGAAAACAATTTAAATCAAGTAATTTTTTTTTTTATTATTCTACTTGAATGAAGACTTCAGAATTTAGCTGTGGGATTCTTAAATATGCCTTTCTCATTCCCTAAGGCCTTTCTACAGCATTGCTGCAGAGTCTGCACCCCACTATGCAATTTCATAATGCGTGTTTGTGACAGGCATATCAAACCCTCCAGTTAGTTTAGAATTGAGGTGAGAGAGTGCTTTAAATGTAAATTTTACTGTAAACAGCGGAATAAAATCTTGCAAGCACTTCCTAGCTCTGCCAGGAAGCAAAGCTATATTTAACTCATTTTAAAATTCATCAAATACATTCTGGGCTGATTCAGATCTTTGGTGTGTCTTTGAAGATAACGTGTAGTGGAAGTGTCATACAGTCCGTTGTGGGATTGGGCACATTCTGAGATTCTTGTCAGTGAAGACAGGCAGTTAGGACTGGATTGTGGAAAGAAAAGTACATATAGGTCTGATGAGTTAGTATTGATACCTTATTAGACGATCTTAACAATATCTGTTGCATTCAGTTTAGGAGCTTTATAACGAGTCCTGTTATATAAAGAGATTAGTACCATATCAATGGCAAAATTCATAGGCACTCATGTCTTTTAAAGAAGATTGTCTTGTAGTACTTCTGAGAGACAGTATTTTAGAGAAGCTAATACAAAGTTTTGCTATAATAATAATTATTATCTTCCTCTTCCTTTGTTTTTCCTGTCTTCAAGTGCACTTCCCTGCAGCTTTGCATCCCTGTAAACTCAACTGCTGTTATTGATGGGGCTAAATAAAGACTGGAATAAATTGTCAAATTTTATGCTTCATTTTTTGTACATGTCATTAGATAAGATGACTAAGACTCCAGAAGATTGTTTCGATGTTTTTTGTATCTGTAACCACTATATATAATGCTGCTATTGTGTCTCAATTGGTTGGGGTTGGGGTTTTTTTTTGTAAATACAAATAGAAGTCCATTTTAGAATCTCTGTGAACAATCTAAATCTATCAGCAAGATGTTTGCTATTGCTTATATCCTACCACTGCCTAAAAACCTTAATTAAAATAAATAATAGACTATATACTAACAAAAAACCTCTGAATAGGAAATGAAAATGGTGTCGCGCTTCTACTATGGTTTTATGCATCTTGATTGTGGTCTTGTAATGCTCATTTGCTTTTAATTTGTTCTAGTACATGACTGCTGCTGCACCTATGCAAGGGACCTACATTCCCCAGTACACTCCTGTGCCTCCAACAGCTGTCCCTATTGAAGTAAGTTTGCCTCCATCCAAGACAATAGAGTGAAGGGGTAGCAGAACTCTTATCTATTATGCCTCCTTGCACCTGTTGTTTGAAAGGGGCCTAAAGTTACTTTATGGAAAGATGCCTGTAAGCTTCCAGCTTTTAAAATGAGGACTGCAGATTTCTTTCCTTTTTATTTTCTTTCTTTCTTTTCCTTCTTCCACTTCCCGCCCCTTCCCCCCCCCCCCCTCCCCCCCCCCCCCCTTTCTTTTTCATTTAATTATTTGCAAGGGCTCTTGTTTTGCGTTTGTTTTGTTGTACAGCAGGACATGGAATAGAACATCAGTGATTATGACTGTTTTTTCCCCATGTACTTGGGAGGGAGATGGGAAGAGACAGGAAAACAAACCCAGCAGGCAGACCACGAACACAAAAGAGATTCCAAGAAGAGAAGATTGCAAGAGGGTTTGATGCGGCCCTTAGCGAGTATAGGTAATTGATGAAACATTTAGCCACTAGAAAAAGTGATTGAGCAATGGAAACCTTCCTCTTGTATATACAGACGTGGAGGATGCTGCACTGACTGAGTGCTTTTCATCCTTGAGGAAGGATTCGCTCCCTCCCTCCTTGGGGCTGAGTCATGCTGATGACAGTCTAATGAGTAAGTATTTACTCAACCCTGTAGACCACAAGCTGCCGGGAGAGTGTCAGCTTGGCCTCCACTTCTGCAAAGCTTCATAAGGGACACTGAGCACAGCGAGAGGAGGGACGCTTGGCATCCTCTTCCCTTTGTGCTTCTTTTTGGTGCTACCCTCTTTTATTAATAACTTCTCTCCTACTCTGGGGTAATGCAAGGAGTGTCAGGGTCTCTGTTCTTCTGTCTTTGGCTGTGTAGACTTTGGAGTCTCTGCTATTACTACTTTATGCTTTAAGGTTACTGAGTTAGTAGTACTGTTTGGCATAACGCCACCAGCAATCAAGTGGACTTGTCTTGGTTTCTCCCTGTTCTTGACAAGTACTGAGAGTCCCAAACAGGAAAGGCTGATACTGTTCAGTCGTACTGAGCTGGTCATAGAATCACAGAATAGTTAGGGTTGGAAAGGACCTTAAGATCATCTAGTTCCAACCCCCCTGCCATATTTTAGTCTTTTTTTGCCTCAGGATAATTTTGCCCTAAACCTTATTTGTTTACAAACAGGCCATGAGCGCCTCTTTTCAATTGCCATTCTTAGGTATTACAATGAGCAGATACATAACCAAATTAAGAGGAGGTGGTGGAATGGAGAGTGGTTCACAGCAGTATTGGTTGCATATGGTGCTGACCAATGCAAATGAGAAATTAAGTTAATTCTTCCTCAGTCCTCTTCCCCATCACCCACTGGTGTATTAACGCCTGCTAAAGTAATGTGATGTCTTAATTTTCTACTATAATAAACAAAATATTATCTGAATATATAGCCTGTCTTGCTGTGATCCAGTGATGGTAATTATTGTTAATGTTTATCTGTATTCATGTAGCATCATGAACCAGGACCCTATTATCCTGGATGTTCCAAAGCAGAGACCAAAAAATATACTCTCTGCCCCAGAGAGCTTACAATCTCAGGATGAGATGGACAAAAGCAGAAGGATAAAAACAAGGAAGTAGACAGAAAAAGATAATACTGATAGTCTGTTAGGTAATAGATATAAAGAATTTCTGAAAAATTAAATTGATATTTTTAACAGATAATTTAAAACAAACTACCTGATGTTTACACAGGACTCTAATAAAACCAAAGCAAGTGCTTTGTGCTCCCTCTTCTGGCTCTGTTGTGTGCAATACAGTGATAAAGCATCTTCCCTGAAGAGACCTGCTAGTGTTATTCATGTGACCAACACGCCAAGCATGAAAGTAAAGGAAAGAAAATATGGCTTACTCTGAAAGAATAAAAAAATACTTTAAAATACTACTTTAAAATAATATCATTCAGATTGTCTAAATGGGAGAAGAAATGCATAACGTTAAATTCATACATGTATTTTAAGTGTTTAGTTTTCAGGTTTTTTGCAAACATACAAATAAAACTTCACTGGAACTTTAACTTAACAGATAAAAATCTTTAGTGTGAAGTAAATTTATTTTTGAAGGGAACATATAAAAGCAGTGTGTAGAGGAGTGCAATATTTTTCTAAGGTGGCTAAAATTCTGTTGGATGTGTAGTAGAGAGTGGTGGGCCTAGATTCTGCCTTTATTGCATTGCAAATCAGGCAAAATAAAGGTGAACTCACTGTGAAGTTGGGGTAGGTAAGTGAAAATCAGAAGAGCCATACATATGTTGAAAAAAGACAATAGGTAAAAGCCAGAATCCACCGAAGTCAGAAGTTTTGCCTCTGTCTTCGAATGGGCAGGGAACTACAGCAGCCTGTGAGAGCAAAATACTACAGGGGCTGGTGTGCTAAGGAAGCTTCTTGTTGCTGGATTAGCTCTAAAACTGATGGAGTTTGTTGTGTTAGCGTGTGGTTCCGCTATCTCAAACTCTTTCAATCTCTAGAGAAATACAGGAATGGTGAGCTTGTGCTGAGCTCTTCTATGTAGTTCACTGCAGTGAGCAAAATTAGTAAGTTTTTCATGTTACCGTTTGGTTCCCTAGGGTGTTGTTGCTGATACTTCTCCACAGACAGTAGCATCTTCATCACAGGAAGCCAGTGGTCAACAGCAACAGATGACAGTGGAAACATCCAGTGAACATGCGCCTGCATATTCTTACCAACAATCTAAGTAAGTAGGCATTCACTTTCTAATCAGAAGGTTTTGATTCTTGATTAGAGTGGGCCATATTCTGCTCCCCACTTCAGCAATATAAATTCTGAGTAGCTTTGTTAAGTTCAGATGAATTCTGGATATATAGCAGTGCAATTAGCAAAAGATTTTGACTGATGGCCTCACCTTGGCAAAATGTCTTTGCCTGCAATGATATGCTCTCTGTCTGCTGCTTTTCTGGACTGAGAAGGATCTCAGTAACTGCGTTAATGATGATCATGCTGGGCTAAAGCAGCATCTGGCATCAGAGGTTAAAAAGAGGGTTTAACTTTTGCAGTGAAAATATTGGCACAGTACACATGTAAAGGTTTCTTTCTGAAAGTGTAGCTAATGAAGCAGTATAAGTTGCCCTGACTTGGTATTTGTGATTATACAAAATTGATGCTTTGACACCGCGTGCACAGGAACTGGAAATGGAAGAAGAAGGGTTAAGAAAGGGATGGAAAGAAGCACTGCTCTGTCTTTCTCCTGTCCTCTACTCCCTTTGTTTGCTTCCTATGGGATACATTGGAAAATTCAAAATTTGCACACTGATAGCAGGATCTATATAATGCCTAAAGAGTCCCTTCGTCTTCAGCATAATCCTCAAAAATTCCTTCTTCTCTTTGGCACATTAAAACTGTATTCTCATGAAGGGAAAGTTACTTAGTGACAGGGTACTCACCGGGGATGATCAGTGTTGGACAGATTCTAGGAAGGAGCTCAAACCCAGTCCTTTATTAATACACGTATATTTAACACCACCATCCCTGTGAAAAGGAAATTACACATTTTTTATCTTGGGGAAGGAAGAAGACAAATAGCCAGAAAAGAAATTTGTTAGATATGTCAGTCAGTGCATCATGACATAGTACTTACAGAGGCATAAGATACGAGCTGGTATAAGAATGATTAGAATCATACCAGTTTGTCAGTTGTTTTACTTCATTTTTGACCTCTGGAAGTGGGAGATGCATTTATTTGTTTAACATATAAGTAACAAATTGTTTCAGATCAGTGCCCCTTTTTGACTGCAATAAAACATAAGACCTCACTATTTCTTGTGTCATGCCCGTATTTGTCTATACATGCATATTACAAAAGCAATTCATCACAAGCTTTTTGTTGATGTACCCAGTTGGAGACACAGTCTATGCATGTGTATCTCTTCTAGTCATCAGTCTTTCTAGCACCTGTAAATAAATGATGGGAAAATACATCTAGAGTATAATGGGCAAAGAGAAATATCTTGTTGGCTCGTTTTGATGGCTGTGTTCTATAGGAGTTCGGATCTGACCATTCCTGTGTTCCAGTTACCTTTTGCTAAGCCTCAAAGGAGAAGGACTTTGTTCAGAAGTCCTCATAAGGTATCTGTAAGCAGCGGATTCTGGCATTTTTCCCAAATAGGAGGAAGCTACATTGCAATTCCTCATTGAAATGGGTGCTGTGTTTCTTGCCAGCGTGGTGAATTCCCCACATTCTCTGGAATGATGTCCCTCATCTTTCTTTGTCAGCTACTGCCTTTTTGCAATGATGGATATACTTCTGATGGCACCGGCATTTATAGTCAGAGGAATTTCTTTTTTAGTCACACAGGCAGATCCACTAGAGATTTTTTATTATGATTATTTCAGTATTTTTGACTGAAACGTGCTCTCTATTTATATCTGCCAGTTGGAGGCAGAAATGCAACGTGTGGGAAGCTGTAGAAGCAAATCAAAATTCATGAAATGTCTGTCTTAAAAAAACAAATTCTGCGAGAATATTTCAGTAACCTTTAATATAAAACCAAGTGAAGTTGTTTTCTAACTAAAATATAGTTTTCTTAATCTGCTCTTTGAAGGGCACATTTATTGATAGCAAGCATCGTGGCCAGTATACAACAGCTGTTTTCAAAGCAAGTTGAGAAGTAATTAACATGACCAGACAATGATTTTGTCAGATATAGGCAAAGGAAAAGGCAGACACTATAAAATTATTTCGTAGGACCTGTACAGTCAGGAGAAAAGTTATAACAGTGTATTTCATTATATCTATTTTCTTTGCAACAATGACGAAATTGCAGGCAACGAAGGAGAGGCAATGTACTCAGAATGAACTGGGTGGTATAAGGACTCTGTACTCTCTTTGTAAGTAAAAATAAACCATGAGACTTGAAATTTAAGTTCTACTTTTTTAATCAGCATACAGATTCTTTGATTTAATATGCTGGCTGCTGTGTTTGAGGATCCCACCCATAGATGTTCAGGAATGATATCTTTATGTCAAGAATCTGGCTACCTATTGTGTAGCAATATAGGAGAAACAGCCCTTGTTTTTTGAGCAGAGGACTCTGCTTTATGAGGAAATCACCTCATTCTGTTTTAAACCATACTTTCTTTTATCCTTGTAAATCTTTAATTTTGCACATAAAAGTATGAAATCTATGAAATGGAGATAGACATCCTTCCCTCTGAAAAGTGTACTGTCTTACCTCTAAACAAAACTCTGCTGGATGTCATACTCTGATTTTAAATGTGGAAAGAATTACATTTCCTGGGGCCTTTGGTGGGCAAACTCAGTGCCAGGTTAGATTAGAAAGTGTATGCTGTGACCCTTTGGTGGATATGGTCTTTCATACATATCGTGGCCACTCGATCCAGAGGGGCAGTAGAACCATGATCAAACTTGAATGCTCCTACCATTAGTCAGGCATGGAAAACCCAAAGAAAATAATTAATTCTTGCTTTCCACATAAATCTGTTGTTAACATTCAAAATATTAGTTTTCAGGCTTCACGCAATGAAAAAGTCCTTAGGTAAATTTAATGTTTAAAATTAAAGTTAGTTTTATGTTTACCATCCCAGAGAAATAGTTCTGTGGCAAATGTTATGTTATCAACATTCTTCACAACTGAACTCCTAGTATTAAAATTAATTTAAAAATAAGCAAGGCAAATGCGTTAATGCTTGCAAAAGGAAAGGTGCTGGATTTTCTTGTGTTGAACTTCGGCTGGAAAAGGATTTTTTCTGTACATGTTTTGAGGACTTTAAGAAAAACATTAGTTAACCCTTACGGGTAACAGCATTTCTTACATAGGTTCTGTCTCCCCAAAGATCTTATATATTCTTGCTAAGACAGGTTTGATGTGAGATATCTTTAAATGACATGAAAGCTCAAAAACACAAATGCAGAGTTATCTTCCATAGGAAAAAGGTTGATAGTTTCACTTAGTCTGTATGATAAATTTAGAAAGATTGGACACTATATGATAAAAAAAATGCTGATTTTTCTAATTAATATTATATTGAATTTTTCTACTAAGTTATCCATAACTGACTCATTAAGCAGGCTGCTCCACAGTCTGTTTCTGCCATCAGAAAATGTGTTCTTTTTAGAAAATTGGATGTATCCTTTTATTGTAATTTTATCCTTTGTTTTATTATTAGTATCCAAAATAAATAGTGTCACTTATTATCATGAAAATATTCACTCTCTTATTGAATTACTCATGAAATATTTATACAGTGTTAAGCCACGTATTCAGCTCATTTCAGTGTAGTTAGACTGCCCATTAAGCATAGCATTAACAAGAGTAAATTCATCTGCTTAGGATGTGTTAACATCCCCAAAGCAGGAGTTACCCTGTTTCTCCCTGACTATTTTCAGCTTAGTGGTGGTATCATATTTAAACAGCTGGAAAGTTAGTTTAGCTTGGATAACTTTTAAAGAGAATTGGGTGGAAAAAAAGGAGAGCAGCCTATTTCAAAGTTGTTTTGACTTAATGACCACTTTAATTCAATTGTTTTTACAGACAATAAACGGGACTGAAGAATGTCGGTCTGAAATCTTTGCCTTGAATGGAGAAACTTCGCTGAACAAGAAGTTGGCTTCCAGTTTGCACAGGCGTCAAATGAATGCTTTTTTTTTCTACCTTTCCCAACGAAAACAAAACAGTGTTTTTATGTGCTGTGCAAATGGTTCCGTCATGTAGTCTGACATTTTTATTTTTGCTATTTTTTTTTTTACTAAAGGACCCAGAGGAAATCCTCTGGGTTGACATTTCATCTGGACAAACATTTGAATTCAGAATTTACCTGGAGGTGTAGGTAGATTTATTTTCGTTTTGTTTTGGTTTGGTTTTTTTAACAGAAAAACTGATGATGTCAAGAGGGAGCAAGTTGTGATGAAAACCAATTGTCTTCCTCAAAAATTAAGCTACTCTTTTTCTCTCATTTTCTTTTTCTTCTTGTTTTAATTCTAGAGTGGGGTTTTTTCGGTTTTTGTTTTTGGTTTTTGTTTTTTTAAAGAAATGTTTAGGTAAGGTTTATCTTGAATCTTAATTGCCTTAATTTTAAGGACGTCAAAGGCTCTCAAGGCAAGCTGTCAACGTCTTGTTAGAAAACCTGAGAAGGAATTGAAACTGCTCACACCGGTGCTGGTGCAGAAGTTTAATAGACTGAGTTTTTGGGGTGAACAAAAAATAAACTGTACAGTTTAAAAGAAAATGATTTTCTTCTTTTGAAGAAAAGTTGATGATAAAGGAACTGTGGCAACTGAAAGGATTGGAAAAATGCTGGGACTTTTATGAACTTTGTCTTAAGTGTTGACAGAAAAAAATCTAGAAGGCTAAAGCATTTTACAGTAAAGTTATTGAATTGAGAAAAAAACTTGCTGCATTATAGAGAATGCAGGGTTTTTTTCTTGCAGAATGCAGATTTTTTTATTTACAAAGCGTGATCGCTAGCAAAAGCATTAGTGCTTTTTATCTGCAGTCTTTTTTATGAGCTTTAAGAAGTTTTTAGTCTGCTTTGCTTGTCACATTGCAAAAACCTAGCTTAAGAGCATTAAAAAAACTTAAGTAGATAGGAGCTTATGGTCAAAAAAAAAGTGCAAAAAAAGCAATAGATAGAAGAAATTGTTGACAATTTCTGTAGTCTTTCCTAGTTGTGAACAAATGCAGCCTATGGATGGCCTATTTTATACCAAAGATGAAGTGACACC